CTTTATTTTTGTTAATGATCGATTTAAGATACCCTATTGTGGGTATGGTATAACATAATATATGGGCAAGAAACCACAGCATCATGGGTGCAAATTACATACATTTCTTATATAAAATTTAAAGGTGTGGAAAGAACTTTAGTTTTTCTGCGTTATTGTTCTGTTTGGCAGCTGGTCCACCGGTCCTGACCAAACCGCCTCAGTTAGTGTTAACAGAAGACCGATTTGGACTGCTCTTGGAATGTTCGTTTTCATTCAAACAATTTTCAAACATGACATTTGATGTAACATGGTTTGGTGATGGAAAAAATTTGCCCGAAGCAAGTGTTTCCTTAAAAACGGAAAGAATGGCACCCCTGACGCAACAACAAATTGGTGACGTATTTGATGACAATCAGGCGATCATTGTAAGTGTGTAAAACAATGATAAACCATTTATAGAACATTAAATAGGTTCCGTTTGGCAAAAATTTAAAAAGTCCTAAAAAAATCGAACCATAATCAGATGGAAAAGAAATTTTCACTGATTTATAGACATTTAACTACAAGAATCCTATATAAGAAATGACAAATCTCATTTCCTATACAGTTCTATGGCAGACTAATTCATATATGGAATCTTACGATAATGTTGTTTATCAATGTATATACGAAAATACGAGTAATATGCCTACAGCATGCACTACTGGTGTTGAAATCCAAATTTACTATTTTTGTATCTGTTTTAATGTGTAGATGACCTGCAAATTAAACGCTCACTTCATTTACCCTGATGGATCAAGGAAAAGTCCAAGCAGCCAAACTTTGGAAAGTAATGAAGTACATCTGACTCTGTAGATTGTAATTAGAGTACAACTACTATTGATTGCTCCAAATAAATCGCTTTAAATAATGTTAAAATAAACATTTTACTAACCATCATTATTGTTTATTCTTATATCTATTATCATTATCATTGTCATTATTACTAATTATTCTCAAGACGACACTTATAATAGGCACATGTGAGGTGCCATGTCACAAAATGAGCTCTGTGGTACTAAACATGGAAAAATAGCCTCCAAGCGGAAGCGTGTGTCTACTGATTGTTAACATATTTTTTTGTTGTGTATGTCATGATGTAGCAATTAAAGATGGCGGAAAAGGGTAAATCCGGTTTAGGCATGATAGGCACTACTACCATGAGGTAGGGGCGCTCTATTGACAATCGAATAGCGTTCGGAACTCGAACAAAATTGCGTTCGAAACTCGAATACGCGTTATAGAGATTCAGTACGCGTTCGACAAGAGGGCCTTTTACCGTCATTTGAAGGACGCCCTCTAGAACATGGTAGTTTCTCTTCTCCAGGCGTTACTCATTTTTAAAGTGTTTTTTAGGCCTATACAGAATATTATGAAAGAAAATTTTCATAAAAAAATCCAGATACACTACAATAATACAAACGTCTGCATATTGAAGAACATAAGATAAAATTAAAAAAAACAAACAAAAAACTCCTGTATAAGGCAGTAGACACACGCTCCCGCTGGGAGCCTATTTTTTGCTACTGTAGTGACTTTTAATTGAACTTTCTAGGACTGGTCTGATAATTCAACTGATAACTTTACTCATGGAGGTATTATAGTTTTCTATAATAGGCCTATCTCTATGCTTTACTTTAGGAAAGGTCTTGTTTAATTCATTTCTATCTTTAGCTCATGACTCATCCAATCATTCTTCCATACATGATTTACACACGACTTCTACCGAATTTACTCTTCTAGAATTAACTGCCAGACAATGACATAGTGCCTACGCCACCGGGGGCAGTACACACAAAAAGTTGTTGATATATTTAGATTTTAGATATATCGAAGTTAAGCTTTGTTTCTAGAATCGAACTAATAATAATAATATTAAAAAAAAAATCGCATGTATAGAATTAGTATTCATTTTAGATCATTTGGTGTCAAACTTATAGTTTAAATTTTCTTTTTGCTCATATGAGTAGGATCTGTATATAATTTTCAAAACAAAATAGACAACTTTTAAATCACCACTGTTATATTTTGATCTTTCTGAAGATACATTTACCTCTCCAATGACGCAATTACAATATGTAGGCCTATTAAGGCAATTTTATTCTCATTTAGATTCACTCCATTATTTAGGCTTCAGGCCTAGACATTCTTAAAGATAAATTCCTCGATTGACCTGCAGAGTCCAACCATATCAACAATAAGCTTTTATTTCGTTCATCGTAAAAATAAAATAAGAATTTTGTGCTATACTCAATCAGTGCTAGCGGCACAAAGAACCTTTATGACTTACTGACTCATTTGCATCATGTGACCCAAAGTACCAATCACGTTCAAGATTACATCCCATGTCCCAACATTGATTAAAGCATGCGCAAACAAAACAGAGAACACGTGGTGAAGTGAAGAGTGACGGGCCAGCATGACAACATCTAAACGAAAAATACTATGGTTATTTTCCTACAAAATCAGACAAAGTAGGTTAGTGTTTTACTCATGGTATTATCTACACTTTGTGGTCATTATTTATGCGATTGTATAATCGAAAGCGTGGCTGTTAGCATGGGCGTCGATCGGTGGGGACAGGGGGACGTCTCATGAATTTTGCCTGTTCACTTTTCCAAGTGCAATACGTCTTTTCCGGACCAAAACTGAGTAAAAACGAAATTGTTTGTACATTTCGTAACCATCTCAGAAACACTAGATCGATTTCATGGGTGCAGCGGTTATCAGAGGCTAAATTTATTGTGAAAAATTGAAAGCGTGTATACTTATTAGGCAAGTGTTTTTACAAACTCAAAAATGCACAATTTCTACTATAAATGATTTATTCCTTTTGTATATTACGTTATATACTAGTGCTTAATATTATCTACATAGGATTTATGTTTTTCCTAATTTCAAAAAAAAAATATAGTTATTCAATTGAATTTTATATAGCCATTATTAAACAATAATTATACAGCCTTTGACACGGACATGTCTATCTATTCCGATTTAGTGATACCAAAATTTTACAAACTCCAGTGGTACGTTGACGCAATCTCGCAATGACGTCATAATAATCAGTGACGAATTCAAGTCTCGATTCAAGGAATGACGCCGGGACTGTATTGATAATAATTAATGGCTACGATGAATTTTTTTCATTTGAAAGATCTTACTTGAATCTATTATACTGTGTATGATGGTGATTTTCATACAGATTTCAAGAAAAATGCAAAAACAGCGTGGTGATTAATCCTGGGGCTTTCTAAGGCGGAGTCGACGTTAAGGTAAATAAAACTCGAAAGAAAAACCAAAGGCATGTTTGCATACATGTTTATATCATTTGAATCATCTTACGTGAATCTATTATACTGTGTATGATGATGGTGATCAGGCATACAGATTTCAAGAAAAAATACAAAAACAGCGTGGTGTCCCTGTGCATTTTTGCATACGTATTTGTGACATAGTTTTATGTACTTATTAAAACATTGATACAAACCAAAGTTGTCTGTTATTTCATTTGAAACCAGTGTCAGTGTAATCTTAGGTAAGCATGTGGTCAACTTAAGCAAGAATTTAGTCCAATGAAACTGTTTATCATTTTGATACCTTCCGACGAAATCGACCCTACCGGCGTCACCACGGCGTCCCCACCGAACGATTAACGTGACGTTGTTATGTGGGTGTTTTATAGATTATTGAGAATGGTAATATTACCGAAAAATAGATAAAATGACAGTTGAATGACCAACAAAGAAAACTGAAGACGACAGTTCGTCATTATAAGTTATTTAGTATTTATTCGGAAAATTAATCTCAAAATCGAGTTGCCATCCCCGGCGTTATCAGTGACGTCGTATGATTTGTGTGCGATTTTTATCAATTAACTCCTAAGTAAAAAATAGTTGAGCCGTAGTACCTTGCAAATTAACCAGCAACACGGTAGTTTGTTGATTGTTTATTCATAGTTACCAAACTGACAGATTTGAAATGTGTGAGTGACTATACCGTTGGCTGGAGAGGGGGGGGGGGGTCCATGCGGCAGGGGAACCACCCCCGACGATCTGAGCATTTTTAAGCTGTTTTAAAACGATTTCAAGTATTGGTTGATAATACAGGTACATAAGCAAAAATATTATTAATAAAGCCAATTTGAGTTTCAATGTAGGCCTATGTTTAATTTGAGCACCCGAACTTTGTAGACCTACACAAATATTTCAATACTGATCAATTTTTAGTAACTCGAATAGTAAAATAAGGCGCAAATTCGCAAAATATGGTCCGATTGGTTTTGAACTCCTACTTATCAATTATCAGAGAAATTATACTGCGCAGCGTAAGAGAAGCATTTCTAGATTTCGTTATTCAGCATCCTTTACTTTTTCCTATATTTATTCTTGAGTTTCGCTCATTGTTTCAAAGTTTATTGTACATAAAATTTTTAATAATCCTTTATCACGTTCTATTTTAGATCGTTAAAATGGGCCTAATTTGACCAGTTTATTTAGGATGGAGGGAAGCAGCCCCTGGACCTCTACCAGGGTTTCAACCCTGGCCTTGACTCCACCGGAAATGTCGGACTCCCTGTCGAACCAGTTGGCCACACCCGTCAACTTTCGGGCTAATCCTGTCTCAGTCACTGGCTGCCGCAGCTTTTATCTGCCTCGACCATCTGCTAGTGCCTAGAAGTCCTGTGCTCACAGGCAAAAGTGCCCATCTGTCTTCGGGCACGACTTGTATAAATAGCATATTTCTTGTGTCTTTTGTAAATTGGAAAGCTTATGAGTCTCATTAGGCTTTCAAATTATTCCCTCAATTTTTTTGTCTTTTCCCAATTTCTTCCTAATTTAAAAAAAAAATGAGGCAGAAGCTCCCCCTCTGGCTACTGTATATGCCTGCAATTTTTTTTTTAAAGGAGCTACAAACCCCAAAACTAATTGAAGGATCCAAATGCAAACTTTTCAATTAAAAAACTGATGATGACAAGTTAATACCTTTTAACTCAAATGTTTAATCAATAACTATTTAAACAGATATTAAAGATTCCATTTTTTGTTTGTATTATTATTAATAACATCAATTTTAATGGTAAATATACAGCATATCATAATGGTAGCCCTGATTTGCGCAATTTTAATATTTAATCAGCATTTTAAAAGCTTGTGTAGTTATAATAGCTTGTATTTCATTGTTTTGACATCAGTATACATTTCAATATATATATTAAGTCTCTGATTCCATTTATCTTCATACTCATTTTTACAATATTCTTGATTTGTATCTTATACAGTACCTTGCAACAAGTACTGACTCTTAAAAATTCAAATCAAATCCACCAGAATCGACACTGATTTCAAAATGTTCCACAGAATAATGCTAATAGAAATTTAACTATCTCAGGAACTCTTGGACAGGCATTAAATACACAATATAAATTATTCTTTTAATAAAAAACGAAAAAATGCAAAGCATCATTGTGCTGAACTGCATACGTGCAGTCACCCCCTACATTCCAAACGATGCAATGGCTGCACACAGGCCAGATATGTGTACAATGATGGATCTCCACTGAAAGCCCTTATCCCAAACGACTTGGTGCTACAGTACTGTACTACCCACACCCTGGGCAATGAGCAGCTCAAACCAATGTTGATGTTAATGGCTGTAGTTAAAGTATGGTACTGTACTAAATTTTTTTTTTTTTAAAGCATGATCCTCAATAATGAAACCTGTTCCACTATATCTGGCAGATCCAGCAATACAAAATTACTTCACATTATCATATTACAGTATTTCTTTTCTCATTATCTTTGATTAAGTCTCTCTAGTCGTCGTCTCCTAAGTTCCTCATTACTTATTCCTGACTGATGTCCAGATTGTCCACTATCATGTCCATATGGCGGAAGGGTTGGAGAGCTAACATTCTCATACCCATGTTCTTCCTCCACAGGTGGTGCTGATGGATATAAGTTAGTGTAAGTTGCTGAAAAAAGTTTTAAAATAGAAATAACATTTAATCATCTATTTATTTACAAATTAACAGACGCTTTACTATATATAATTTCAAAACAACTTATGACAAGAAGGATCAACGTTTCGGGGCAATCATGGAACCATTTTCAAGATCAAATGATTTAAAAAACTTAAAAACAGAAAACACCAAAGAGGTGACAGGAAGTAAGTAATTAAATAGCATACAGTAAGGGCCTACATGTAGAGCTAAACAATAATTAGCCTCTTTTAGCAGATTAGCTATGAAAACAGTTTGGCTTTGACTGAGTCAGTCTGTTTTTAAGTGTTGGTTGCAGCTCTGTGATAAAATCATTTGATCTTGAACATGGTTCCATGATCGTCAATCCTTTTTGTCATTAAATTATTTTGTTTTGAAATCATTTATTTTATAACAAAATCATTATGCTTTCGGTACACCATGTGTTGGAATATGGTTTTTTAAGGTAAAACCAGTGGTTGACAATTTTCAAGAATTATTTTATTTTATCGTCAATTCAAAATCAAAGGCTGTGTCAACCAAATGTTCTCATCCTCACGCTAGAGTCACAGTATAATAATAGCTATTTGACACATTATTTGCACCAAAATTGATTTTCAGCATTGAACAAACAATACCGACATCACCAAGAGTTGCAACTATCACCTACCCTAGGCAGTTGCATTACTGCACCTTTCAGTATGGACAAAATGTTTTAACAAACTCTTTTAAAATGGGAAATTTAACATTAATATTGCGATCAAAATGTTCCATCGCAAGATTGAATTGTGTTGGATGCTATCGCGTGCCGGTCTTTACAAAGATATGCTGTATATGTTAAACTAAAAACAATAATAGGAAAGTCTTTTGTTTCTTTAAAATGTGTACAATCTGAGGGCAGGGAGTTCTTGATTTAATTAATAACTCTTGGAAAACATTTTAGTAAATTTTGTTAGGCCTACATTTGCTTCACAATTTCTAAAATTTTGATTTTAAAACCTTGGTCAAGCCTCAACATACAGGCTGAAGCCCTTGAGTAACTGCAGCAGGCCTGCCCATGGTAGCTAGCCTAAAATCGGGAGGGTATAGATTGCTCGAAAAATCAGGAGAAATGCACCAAAATCGGGAGCTACAGTATAATATATACTAAAGAAACATAATGGTAGGTTTCTGCATCATTAAAACATGACTGTGAATTTTCACATTGTCAAGATAAAAGGCTGTAAAATATTTCAAATTGTAAAATCACAAAAAAATGTAAAAGGCTTTACATTAAATATTGCATTATTTATTAGCTTTCTTTAGAAAATTAAAATAAGAAAAAAAATTGTTCAATCAAGAGCTGTAATATAAATACCAGGGTCCTGTTCATATTCTTTTCATAGAATCTCGGTTGGTAATCATAAACTTTTAAGGATATTTTTATATTGAGTCTGTAAATCACATTAGAAATGTATTTGTTTCAGTTTGTTTTCAATCATAAATGAGCTATATATTCAATTGGATATAAAGCTATATCCCATTGAATATTTTAGGCTTTTCTAAAGTTCATAAAAAATGGTACATCGTAAACAAGCAAACCACACAAATAGCTTTACATAGCCATACCTCTATATTACCCACCTGTTTCTTGGCTCTGCCTCATGGCAGCTGCCACCTGTTCATCCTCACTCATACCACCTGTGTATGTTTCCTCTCGGAATCCATTTCCAGGTGTCTGTGCTCTAGGGCGATAGCCAGATGTCTGTCCTGCAGGATTGTGATCACCTCCTGACCACCTTCTTGTGTTTGAACGCCTATAATTTCTTCGTGCTGAGCCACCTGTGAGATATTGATACACAATTTAACATTGACTTTTACATCACTCTCTGATTACAAACTTTATTCATCTTTAACATTTACATTTGTATAATAATCAAATAAATAAGGCATTAAAACAAGCGAAGCTATATGTGCGATAACATTTTAATATTAACAACAATAAATGAATATAAAAACAAGGACAGTTACATATATTGTTAATGAAAATAAAATATAGTAAATTGGGATCATTTTATTAGCGAGATGAATGAAAATGAAATGTAAATAAGTATGTCCCATCAGGATTTGAATCCAAGACATTTCGATTACTGTTCGGATACTCTACCAACTGAGCTTTTTTCAATTTAGAATGTTAATACATAAGCAAGCATATTAAGAGATTTTTCTCTTATTACTTATAAATGTAAGAATGAATAATTCCAAACACAGTACAGGGTACTGCAATTTGTAATCAAGAGTCACCGACTTACTGTATGTCAAAAATATTCATCAAAATAGGTCTTAGGAATATGTGTCAATATAAAAACCTTAATAACTTAGTCAATTTGATAGGGTTGGGAAAAATTGAAGAGGATAGGGGAAAAATATTTAGAAGAAAATTGTCCATGAAAAATCTGCCCCTGAACACTTACCAAACTCTGTAAATGTTCCAGCAATGGAATCCATGATGCCCTTCAAAGGCCCCTTTATGTAGGCAAGGCCAACAAGAATTCCGGCTAGATGACCAGTGAATGATGCGCGTGGTACCAGCACCTGGATGAGCACAAGCTCTACCCAGCATGCCCATTGAGATGGTACACTAAAAATTCCCATAATGCTTTGTCTGTGGTTTGGCATAAGGTGTGTTGTGACAACCTTCAGAGCAAAGATGACACCTGCATGAAACAAAAGATATTTGTATTTAGAATTTGATTGGTTGAGAACAATCTAAGCTCTGCCAACACTATTAAGCAATTAGTAGAGCTCCGTATAGTACACTATAGGAAAATTATTAGTCAATAGCTGTCTTTAAATGTAGTTTTTGATAACCAACTGTTGTAGCAGTCATCGGTTGCTATAGTGATATGATCAGTATAATGTGTGCATATTTACATTTAGCTGTGCGTATGCTGATTTGTGTTCCTGCAGTACGTGTTAAGTACACATCAGCAGTACAGTACGGTTACGATGAATAACTATTTTGTAATTTGTATTGTGTTAGAAGAAATTGTTTGTAATGTTTCACATTCGTCAAAGAAATAAATATTTTTTTAAGCATTCGAGAGAGAATACAGTCGCTGTCACTAACTTTTTGGTTGGTGCAGACAGGTAAAAATCGTGGGATGATTTCATAATTACGCTAGGCTACGGCCTATCCATAGGCCTACATCTAAGTTCGTTCCTCGAGTCTTTAAAATAGGTCTAGAATATTCCTATTAAATGTTCAGTTTGTTTAGTTTATAGGGTTCATTGATTCAAGGAATTGCTTAATAATTGTTCATACTTAATATTGAATTTAAGTAACTTTCTTCAGGTTCTAATTAACCTTGTTTTACGAAAGCAATTTTCAATTACACCTCAATTTTCATCGCGGTGCGCAATATCTTTGTGGTGACAAAAAAATAAGGATTTTTTTTTGTACACGAACCTACAAAAAAATCAAGCCAAGCATCCACTAATTGAAAAATTAGTGGACTGTGGGGGATAGGCAAATAACAATGGGAGTTGCAGTGATAATAATTTTTATGTGACAAATGTATGTGATGCCCATATATTGGTGTCAAACATAACATTATTATATATCAAACTGAATAGAAACTAAATGAGAATTATAATAATTAATTATGATAATATCATTATTCTTATATTTAAATATTACCATAATTGTTTTAATTAATTTCAATACAAAATAAATTTGAACAATAGAAAGTGATACACTGAGAGTGATACCTGTATATATTATCTGCCTCCTTTTAGCACATTATTTTTCTTTAGGTAAGGAGATGCTTTAAAATATTTCTGAAAAAAATAAACACACACAAAACAAAATACACACCTGAAAATCCAGCAGCACAACTAAGAATGTATGAATCATCCTCCAGAAACTCAGCAGCCATTATATTAATCCCTATCATTACAATGTTTGTGACAACTGAAAAAACTGCAATTAAATAAGCAAAATAGTAGGAACCAATAAGCTGCTCCAAAAATCGCCCTTTCCATAAAAACGAAATCATGTTGTAATAAAGATGCCAGTCATCAAGATGGAACCAGGCAGCAAGTAAGAGGCGCGACCAATCCCCGCGGTACCAGACGCTTACTGCACTGACACATACTCTCTGGATTGATGGTTTCCCGATCAAACTGTATAAAAACTTGTTGAGCACCTTCAGATACACAGCGACATTTAACCCAATCGTGATGAGAGTGGTAGGAGGTATGTGGTTGAAACCAAAACGGGCTAATTGCATGAAGAGTAGTACAAGACCAAATCCTCCTTGTCGCCTTCTCCTTGGACGCATCATATTGATGTTGATTGTATCTAGCAATAAAAGAATTAAAAAATATCAGTATATAATTATGCACGGTGACATTCAAATCAATGACATTACAATAGCATTGTCAACAGTACGCTTGTTTTTAGCAAATTCTATTTTATTTTTGTAAAAACATGAAGATACACAGGAAGAAGAATAAAAGAAAATTATTTTCTCATTTTCAAATGTATTTAGAGATTGTTAAGAATATATATTTGTAACTGGGTAGGGGGACCCGTTGTGACTTTTTAGGCCTTTTATAGAGATCTGACCATCATGTTTTTATCAATCAACAGGCAGCAGCTTCAAGATTGTGTTAAAAAAACAAAAGGGTGTCTATAAAATGAAGACCGAAGACCCAAAAACAAAGACCCCTATTTTTTCTCTTTAATTTTGATGATAATACGCCAGGCTCTCACAAAATCCAAATTACGAAATTTTTTGGGTGTCTGTTTGTGAAATTTTCAAGGGTCTTCGTTTTATAGACATCCTATATGGGTGTCTACAAAACGAAGACCTCAAATTATTTCTCAATTATCTTATTGAAAGTATTTCAAAATCATCATAAAACAGTTGCCAAGTTCCTATTTCATTATTTTATCACGATTGGGAGAAAAAAAAATGTGGGTCTTTGTTTTGTCTGGTCTTCGGTCTTCGTTTTGTAGACACCCATACAGGGTGTCTATAAAACGAAGACCCTTAATTATCTCGTCTATCCTATGTTGGTGTCACTACCAAATGACCGATGCTGACGTACAACATTAGTTGCCGCTTTGGAACTGGAATAAAGGGTAAATCATTCAATTGACTCAGATTCAGGCAACAATGTACTAAGAAGACGAATACTATATACACATAGCATGAAGTGATTTAAAAACATTATTTTCATCACAATTGAAAGAAAAAAAAATGTGGGTCTTCGTTTTGTAGACACCCATATAGGGGGTCTATAAAACGAAGACCCTTAAGTATTTCTTGATATTCCTCATTTTATTCCGATAAAATAATGAAATAGGTACTTGGCACCTGTTTTATGATGATTTTGAAATTCTTTCTCAATAATAATTGAGAAATAACTGGAGGTCTTCGTTTTGTAGACACCCATATAGGATGTCTATAAAACGAAGACCCTTGAAAATTTCACAAAGACTCCCAAAAAAAATCGTAATTTGGATTTTGTGAGAGCCTGGCGTATTATCATCAAAATGAAAGAGAAAAAATAGGGGTCTTCGTTTTTGGGTCTTCGGTCTTCGTTTTATAGACACCCAAAAAAAAAAGCCGGGTGATTACACTTGACTTACAAACAGTAGCCCCCTAGCTAGCTTGGCTATTATTACATTAAATAAACGACTGTAGTGTAAAAGTAGGAGGCCTAAACTAAGAAAAAAGGCTGCTTGATAGATTGGTTCGCAGGTGGATGCTATGTTTCGATGGTACATACAGACAGTTTGATAAAGTAGACTGATGCTGTTTGTCTAGGCCTAGGTAGTACGTAGCTGTCTATGTCTCTGTAGCTGGTAGTAGGCCTAGGTTATATAGATCTCTGTCTGGCACCACCGTCTCCCTGCAGCAGGAACTTGCCACCACCGGTTTTGGTTTTCAAGTGGATAAATACATCATAACAATAAAAACTTTTTTTAAAATTTCTCATTCATTCCATGTACTATTCGAGAATATCTTTCTTTCAGTAATTATTATTAGATACACGTCATTTTAAGGACAATTCCCATGGATGTTGCAATACACAAATCCCGAACATGCATAGCTGCATAGATAGTCGACCCTCCTTTCCATTTTTTGTTTTTGTTTTGAAAATTGAAAATACTCTTTCAAAGTTTATTTTTTAGTGCACATGTTTAAACCAGTTGTTATATCTGTCTCTTATACACATCTAGATGTGTATAAGAGACAGCTATTAAGCATATCTTTCTTTCAGTAATTATTATTAGATACACGTCATTTTAAGGACAATTCCCATGGATGTTGCAATACACAAATCCCGAACATGCATAGCTGCATAGATAGTCGACCCTCCTTTCCATTTTTTGTTTTTGTTTTGAAAATTGAAAATACTCTTTCAAAGTTTATTTTTTAGTGCACCTGTTTAAACAAGTTGTTATATTATTCAAGCGGTGGACTTAAGTATAACAATTATTTTGTCTATGAATATATTACTCTAAAATAAATACACTATATGAATACATATATGCCTATCTTTTACAATTAATATGAATAAACTTCTAGACTATTATAGGCTCCTTACAAAATTGAATAGTTCATCATGGTCGTCAGGTCAAGCCATAGGTCAAGCTAAGATGTATTCGATTAGAAAGTCTGAAATTATTTTTTCAAAAATGGGTATTAAAACTTATATTTATTTAAAGTACTTGGATGTGATTTACTTGTTTGTGGAAATTTTAAAGGCACAAATATTTACAAATTTTGTATATAAGCCATCTAACAAAGGTTATTTGAAGACTGAATATAATGATTATTCAGATGAATTAGTAATACTACTCGTGTTCAAAGTACGTACCAATCGGTAGGTAGTGTGGTAATTTAATTTCGTAGCTAAAAAAAAATGGAGGTTCGGTTTGTGTCGGCTATTGTGTTCTTTCTTGTTTGTTTTCTCACATACAGAGAAATAAGTCAAACCGATGCGAAAGTAGAAGAAAGGCAGATTCCTAAATTTTCCCATTTTTCTGGTCCATCACTGAAAGTGTTATACTGGTAAGCTCCAATTATTCATAGAAAAATTACTACTACTACTAACTAGGGCGGCCTAGCCCCTAGGTAGGCCAGCATATCCTAGCCTCTCTAGGCTTAGGCCTAGTCTGAGCCTTCTAGCTTCTAGCTAGCTAGGCCCTAACTAGTAGTAGTAGCCTGTCGCCGCGTAGCCTTGGCCCCCCTCTACTAGGCCTAGAGATTGCAGACGGTCGTGGGCCCGATCTTAAGTTTAGGCAAAATGATTTCATGATATTTATTGATTTAAAAAAAACACCAATCAGTCCAGGAAAATTAGACGCTCCTATCTATTCTAGACCTATGTATGTAGCCAGTATCCGATCATTTCGGTCGCGCTATTTTGGTTATGCATTTCGGTCGCGCTGTATGGAGCGCCAAAGGTGCGACCGCGAATGTATAATCCAAAGCAGTATAGATATCCAAAGCAGTATAGTCCTAGGGCTGGGCCTAGGCATGCCTGCCGTTTGTTAAACACGAAAACAGTTCTTTTTTATTTTACTACTTTTTGACTAATTGTAAAACAGTTTATTTCAGCATCAATTGGTATTACAGTATTTTCTTTTTACAGCCTTTTATGATCTATGTGAATGGGAAAGAGTTAACAGTATTATAACGTAATATTTATGACAGGAGATCTCTGGAGACTAGAGGAAAGTAAAGGGAAAAAAAAGTATTGCAAATATACCATCTAAATTTTTTTAAATAGTTAAAATATATTGTTAAAATAAAAACGTATGTACAAAATATGTTAAAATGTGGTTTATTTATGTTTGAGATTGACTTTTTTATACCTAGTTTAAAATTATAAATTGTTAAGTAAAAACCTTTTGTCGGTGTAGCACTCCTGTTACCTCATTAATTTAGGTCCTACCTAAAATTTATTTAGAACACTACCGAATTTACTTAGAAAAACATTGTAAATAAGCTAGCTTGTACATCGGCGTTCCATACCGCGGCTGTGAACCGCGACCGAAATGATCTGTATTCATGTAGCCTAGGGGCCTAGCCTAGGTTAGGCTAGTCTGCTCTTAACTAGTCCTAGGTCTGCCGCAATAAATATTAAAAATGATAAATATGAAGCTAAGCTCTTTATCAAACTTGGGGTATTAATATCCCACTGTTACAAACTTTGACATTCTAGTTTTAGATCTTGTTTTCACTGTAGACCTAGGCAAGGCCTACAGTACTACTTGATCAAATGACCCTTTACAGATACAGGATAAGTTTATTAATTTGTAATTGTAAAATAAGGATAGGCTTATGTAGTGTATATTTTAATAATAATAATAATAATAATTAATAAAACAAACAAAAAACACTTTCCTGATTTCTGGATATTAAAGACATCACGGCCGAACTGGTTCGCGAACCGGCCGAAACTGATCCTGGGTGTAGGGCCACTGAATCTAGATCTTGGTGCCCATGTGTGTGACCATGCTTCAAAAAGAAAAGAAACAAGTTTTGGAATGCAGAGAAAATGCACCCCTTTTCATGTAATGTATTAAAATCTTAACCCAAAGTAAAGTATTTTTAGAGTAAAAAGTAATCCTAAACACTCTGGCCTCTACAGTACCCTTTAATTACAGACAACACGTTATTCCTAGAATGTCTATAGGCCTAAACATATAACAAAACAATAACTCCAAATAAAGACGCTATCTGACACACACGGCGACGCACTCCCTAAACGTGTTCTTAATTTCCTCAAATATGATACATACACTATTTACAAATTTGAGCATTTTTCAGATCCTAAAAACGTAGCATACGTTATGTACCTGTTCAGCGCAAAACAATCCTTTTTACTGGATTGTGGTCACACATCCGTCGCCGATGTCAAGTGAGTGCCCCCCCCGGTAAATGGATGCCATTCCTTTGCAGTTTTATCAGTACAGCAGTAGTAGTAGTGTATCTACCAGGTGCATGGAGAGCACGACCTCTAAAAAGGCACGCACCTTCCAGTCGCTTACTGCTCCTTCACTGAAAATGTTGGCCTTTTTTACAAGAAGAGCCCATGCACTTCACCTACACTCGGCAGAATAACTTATTCCTGTAAACTTACTTCTTCCTGAAGAACCCCATCATGCCTTAGGTGCTTTTGTCAAGTCTGTGGCAGGGCTGAACCACAACACAGTATCTGAACAGGAACCACAATATAAATAAGAATACCAATGGAAATATACTGTAGCCCTAATCTAAAGGCTTTTAAGATGCTTAATATGCAAGTCTGAAAAATATGCCAAAATGCTGAATTATATACCTCCTGATTACTATTTATAAATCAACAGCGTACACAATTATGTAAATTTTATTTTTCCTTCCAGCATATCATGAGGGTACCGAAAGGCCTTCGAGGAATACCGGTACCACCTATCTCAGCGTTATCCTGACCTGAACATAGAGGGCACAAACTATCCTCCAACGCCTTTAAACCAAAATATTGCCTCTTTTCTATCTATTGCTAAACTTGTGATTATGGGTATGATTGTGTTTGGAAGTAATCCTTTTGAATCTGCTGGTATGAACACACCCAACATATGGCATTGGGCTTGTGAAAATAAGGTAAGAGTTTTTCACAATTTTCAGATTTATGTTTATCTGATAGTGTCTTGATAATGTAAAGCATGTTGTGTATACTCTCGATTCGGCCAGACTTCATCTATACCTTGTTTTTTTTAGCGACATTTTTTTTAAGACCATCAGAGGAGGGCAGAAGAAAAAGAAAAATAAAATTTTGAAATTATATAGCAAAATAACATCTAGACGAGGGAGATTATACTGTATATGGAGGGATCATTACGATAATTTCGGTTTGTTTCCATGCACTGTATTTTCATGTATTTTCGTTTATTTATTAGGTATATGCATGTCTGCTGCTCTTCTTCATTTCAAATGCTATTGAGACTCAACTTCTGTCAACAGGTGCTTTTGAAGTTACTCTCAATGGTGAGTAATTCCTAATAAATACAGCTTCATTTTTCATTGTTATATCAGGGCTAGAAATTTACTTTTTCAGTCACTAGCAACCTATTGCTAAAATGTGCTAGTTAAAAATGTAACTAGCAAAATGAGCTTCTCAACTAGTAAAATATATTGATACCAACTCAACATATTATTTTCGGAAAATAAATTGTATGAAAATAACTAATGATGTACTTCTATAAATATGTGTGTTAAATGTTTTAATATAATATTTTCTGTTATGGTGAGTGTAGTACAATAAATATCACAAAGAAATAGCCAAGCGAGTATAAAAAATCGATTTCTATACCTTGTCCATTTATTTACTTCAGTGTCAGAAAATTTTTTATATATATATTGGATATGGTTTTGTTAAAAATATGCAATTATTATATTTTCAATTTAGTTCCTTTTAAGTTTAACCAGGAATAAGATTAGTCAAACTTATAACCAACAAGAAGCAAATCTTAAATATTATTGTATATCCTCCATTCTAAAGAAATGGTATACAAGATTATAATTAATGATATATTTAATGAACATCTGTGGGTTAATGATGTGTGTTAATTTGGAGAAATAAATATTAAGTCATCATTATTGTTTTTTTCATGGTTAAATTTTTTACTAATTAACAGGAAAATAATCTTGCAATACTGTTGTACACATTTCATCTGTTCTGACTTTGGTTCTTCATTTTTCTTATAAGTTGTCAATGTTTATTTTGTCACTTAACTCTGTTTAATTGATTTTGTTTTTCTTTCTGCCATTTGTGTGATATGTTGTACAGAAAAAATGTTTTCAAAATCAATTTTATCTGGAGATTATTATTTTTTTTTTGACAAATTAGATATGCCTATATGGTCTAAAATTCAGTCAGGTAGAATACCAAAATATGCCGAGTTGGTCAATATTTTGGACAACAATATGAATCTCAGTTACAAGGAATAAACTTATTCTTTCATTTTGGTAAGTTCAACTTGTATTCTATTGTCCATTTAAAGCTCATATGGTTTTTGTGATATTACACCTATAGTATACAGTATGTGGACAAGTTGCAAGCCATATAGAACATGATCATGTGAGCAGGGCTTGTGCAAAAGCAAATAGAAGTGAACTGACCAGTAAATTATAGTGAACTAAAGTAAAACGCAAAGTAAATTTGGTGCTGTCAGAATCGAACTAGCAACCTTCAATTCAAAACCATACGTCTCTGTATTGGTTCCCTGAACCGTGTTTCCTCACAAAGTGAACACGCCTAACTAAATTCTAGATTTGACTAAACAATGCATTATATTAATAACTATGTGCTTTCGAATATCAATGCATGCAAGATTTTAGACCAAGCAGTAAAGTGCGCAGTTTCCAAATACTGTATGCACCATATCGCCGTGTGACGAAACGTTGGTATTTTCTTAAGATTCGTTGTCTGTTATAGAGAGCGTTTAGCGCTAACATAAAAGTCAAGACAGGCACTAACTTTTAATGGTTTTTTTTTCTTCTTTCTTTTAGGTGACTGATGTGCTCAATCATACTCCATTAAGTCTTTAAGGGATCTTTGAACCAATGAAGGCTGATGTTTAAACCAGTTTTTTCTGGCAACATTGGCTGGAAGTATTCTCAACATTTTTTTATAGACTTAATTGATTAGATTCAGTGCATTGTAAACAGTATACAGTATTTGTAATCTCATCGGGTGTTTGGTATGTTATTACAACAAATAATTATGTCAAATTTAGGCTGTGTAGTACTTCATTGATACATCAACATTAAAGACAAATATATATTAATACTTCTGTAATGGTCATCACAATTTTGGTGTTGTAACAGTGCTGTTTGTAATTGTTGGTATGTATTTAGTGATAGCACCTGCACTCCAAATGGTTTTTTAAACATGTTTTCTCATAGAACATTTTGCACAACTGTTTTGGCAATTAATGTAGCAATATTTGTCAGGAATCATCCGTAATAATGTAATATGTTGTTTATATGGATAGTTATAATAAATTACAAATAATATCAGTATTGTTTTTGATGGTTCAATCTTTGTGTTGACTTGAAAATAAATATACAGTTGAACTTGTCCAAGTCGATCCGAAATGATAGTTAATTAAAAAAGTATGTCAACAAGCACCAAAAGATAAACACACAAAAGAAAGTTTTAAGTCTCGAATTGAAGCTTTAATTGTTTTAAAAAACTGATATGCTCATATCAGCTGCATACAACATTGACGTTAACGTTAGTGATTATATCATCATTATAGATCTTTATATAAAATATAATTCATAATTGTGTCGAGTCTTATATAGTGCACTGTTGAAACCAACTGTTATGCAGTGAATTGGTATTCAGATTCACCAGGTACCCATAATATTTGTTGCAATATTGGCTTGGCAAGGTATGGTTCAAGCAAAGCTTTCACATTTGCAACATGCGCATACATTGGTAAACTGTTTTCAATGGAATACTGTTTCCGATATTGACTTTTCAAATTAGCAAAGCATATTTCGCAATATAAAATTTAAAGAAGGCTTGTAAATTGAAGCTAGCTTAAAAAAATCCAGATGAATTTTCATTTTATGATTGTATCGGAATTACAGTTGCCATTTCATCAGATTAAATATAAAGCCAAGCACACACGACTCTCTCTGAGCTCTTGATGGCACACTGTTGTCGAAAGAAATATGTTTTCCATCAAATCACATAGGCAAAGTGTGAACATGGGTATGTGACAGCTGTACCACAGAGAATTGTCTTTTACTAATATTATTCATACTACACCTAAGGAACAGTGCTGGCACCAGAAACTGTCTAACAGGGCTAAGCAGTCCAATGAAAGTCAAGTGGTAATTCCTGGTGGGGTCAAGAGACTAATCCCCTTAACTGAACGATTTTTGACCATTCTAAGTCATTTTAAGATGCTTAAATAACACATTTTACCCAAAAAAATACTTGGTCCGATGGAAGGGTTTAAGCCCCATTGCTAGCACCGCCAGTACACACTATCAACCAAGAGTTTATGGTGATAATACAAATATACTAGTCACATAAATGCAGTATACACAAGGAGTATGGCAAAAAGGAATGTCAATACAGAACTTCAAAATTTGCCATATTTTACAGCATCTATGATGTTAATAGACAGCATATTTTTAGAAATACATAATATTAAAACTGGATACACATATACAGAAATATATTCTTTATTGTCTAAATAACAAGAGATTTACTTTCGTTGTTATATATTTTTACGATATAAATAAAAATTGGGTTTTACATATATGTCAGTACACTGAAATAATACAAAGTACTGTAGTAGTTGTTATTTATGTATTACTGTATAATAGTCACTACAATGTACATGAAATATATAAGTGGTTATTAATACTGATAATAATGAAAGATGAGATTATATTATAATATACATATAAAATAAATAGGTCTTTGTGAACATATATTCTATATACACATACACTGCTATAGTTGAGTGCCATTTCTTAAATTTATACTGAGATAGGACATAACATTAACAAATACTATATTGTGGGAAAACATTAATTCATTGCTAAACAGGCCATCCATGTTAACTGCTTTTGCTATCCTTTATCCTAGGCCCTGCTTAGAACTTTTTAAACTTTCTTTCAACTTCAATGCCCCCTCGTCTTTAACTCACTCCCTTTAAAAATCGGAAATTCTACAAGCATCTCATCCTTTAAATCTAACCTCAAAAGCTATCTCTCTCTTTCTTTGGTTTAGCTATTTTTTCCTTCTGTCTCTCTTTTTCTTCAGGCTGGCCCTAAACTTGTTTTTTTTTTAAATTTATTTTTAACTTAGTTATTTTTGCTTTCCTTTTTTTGCCTGTTTTGGTGGAATAAGGGACAATGTATCTGTTGGTGCAGAGGGTTCTACGGTGGACCTAGCCAAAATTTCTAAATGTATATTCTGTAGGTAAAGTATATTTCACATTGTTTCAGATGATGAGTTAGGCATCCTGCTGGCTACTCTGCATTTTAACCAACCTCATCCACAAAGAGTTTGAGATAGTCATGCTAAACCTGCAAGATACAAACAAAATGTGTAAATTTCCATTTAACCTTTGACCTTATAGAAAGGGCAGAGTGAGAAATTATTGCAGTGCACAAAAATATATATGTATATATAAAATTAAAAATTCGACCAAAACATTCTAAAGAATGTAACTTTGATACTGGATGAATTTATTCAATATTTAAAACTGTAGGCAATTAATACATTTAATTAAATGAAAATACTGTATAACATTTAAAATTCCAATGTAATTAATAACTTTAAATATAGGATTTATTTAAATATTCCAATAGTAAAAGAATGGAATGTAACAGAATAATGTAGTGGCAGTTTGCTCCCCAATGCATACATTAATATAGGTTAAAGGTTAAACTTACTTTTCTGTAATACTTAGTTGTTTAAGGTCACAATCGAGGCTAGCATTGCCTTCATCATATTCATCATCCGGAAGTCTTGTTTCATCGCCAACAAGCTGTTCAGGGAGCAACTGATTATTCTGTGTTTCGAACTGCAGTTTACCTTCAGAAGAAAATAAAAACAACATAAGAACACTGATTATCACTTCTACTGTATCAAACACCAAAAATTTGAACAACAACTGATTATTTTCTTGATCATAATTAAAGCAACTTAATCCAAATATCAAAGAAGAAAGAGAAACTCAACAGAATAACAGTTATTTTCAGAACTATCTACATAGGTGTACTGCAAGTATTTACTATTATTATTATTATAACGACATTACTACAATAACAATGACAATGACTACAATAATTACAATAAAAATGACAAAAATTTACAACAATATTATCATAATCATCTTATTAATACTAATTAAAAATGTACAATTATAATTTAAAGTAGCACTAACACATTGAGGACCCCATTAAGGTATTAGTAAATACTGCTAATTTTACTTACTATAATCCAAATCACCAAGTTTCTTAGCAGTATCAAAGCACATTTGTGCTGTCCAAAAGTTTGGAATGAGGGTGAAGTATCGACTACTGTCCGTCACGTGTACACCCAACTTCTGACCCAGGTTTACAAAGGCTGGAGTCTTTACAGCTTCTTCCAGCTCTTCTGAGTAGCAGATAAACGGTACCGACTTGTTCTCCACTATTAAAGATAAGGATTACTTTCAATATTCATTGATTTTATTAATAAATACTATTGCAGATTCCATAGCTCTAATTATACAGATTCTGTGGCTCATTCATAATAATAATAATATGTCGTTCTTATATTATAGCGCTTCATGCTTAAGCCTATAAGTGTTTCACATTATTACTTTGATCATTGGATCAAACATGTATGGAAACACACACTCTGCTCCATGGGGACAATTCCATAATATTGCAGTTAGTAATCAGCGCAGTTGTGTACCCTCTTGTACTCCTGGGTGGACAGAGGCAAACGTAGGTAAAGTATCTTGCCTAAGGACACAAGCAATGCAACGAGCGTTGTTCTTGAACTGTCAATCCTGCGATCAGAAGTCCAACGCCTTACACGCTGCGTCACATGCCCCATTTATCCTTCAGTCTTCCTACACTCTAGCAGTGGTCTCATGTCTCCCGTGAATCGCAGGTGTCTTCTATAAACTCAGACAGCCTCCTGGACCCCACAAGAAGGCCAAAATCTCTCAGAAACTAACTTTCTCCCACAAATTAATTAAATTTACATGTATTATACTACTATTATAGTAATACTGTATAAGTCAGATAAGAAAGTATAATACATACTCCAAGTATTGAAATACACGCCATCGTGTTGGGATTCAATATTTCAACATTAATTATGTCATAATCAGGAATGAAAAAATTATCCATATTAGCAAGCTTATATGCACTAGTACCAAAAGTGTTTAACCATTGTCAAAACATTACCTCTAGTAGGTGACATAGCAGTGATTCAAACAAAAGATCAAAGCATTCTTACTCTAATGATCAAAGATACCTACAAAAACAAAGAAAGCTCTTTTGAAGCTCTGAGCCCATTGTTATTAAGCAAAGGGTGTATTCTACGTATAGTGAACGCTTCTTTAAACAATAGGATAGACCAGTTTCGGGAGCTGTCAATAATGTTAGTACTAGAGAATATTAAACCTAACTTATTACTTACATTACAGACGACATTATCATTTTCAAGTATACCCTGTAATGCCTCACAGTTTTTAACATGATCAAATATAACACTATCAGATCGTGAAGAATGTTCTCCAAGTCTAGTTATTAAGCACCTATCTGTCTTACCAATATAATCACTATTGCAACCTGGACATTTAAAATGATAGACAACAGAACTTCTGTACTCCTTAGGGGTTTGATCCTTAGTAGATATAAAATGAGGAAACATTTTTATACTGCCATAAAGTTATGAATTTTACCTCTTTAATTAAGTGTATCTTTACCTTATCTACGTAAAATGAATTCACCTGGTTTTCCTAGATAAGGCAATCTAACCCAATTCTTAATCAAGCTATCATCAGTAGGCCTATGTATACATTTAGGTTCATTTAATTTCTTAAGTACATTATTAACAACTTTTAAAGGGTACCCATTCCAAGACATAAACTTCCTGATGTTACTAAGCTTTGTTTGAAGTTTATCAGGAGTACACAATCTGTGGGCTCTAGAAACTAAACTACAAATCCAGGAGATCTTATGGTTCCATGGAGCAAAGCTATCATAATGGACATATTGACCTGTATGTGTATTTTTACGATATATACTCATGCTTCCTACACTGTTGTTAAATTGTAAATCCAGAAAGTGTACTGTGTCACTGTTTTCAAATGATTCAAAGTAAAATTTATCTGTCTATGAAAAGCATTGAAGTAGCTTAGAATTTGTGGGAAATCATTGGGCTTAGCTAATACTAGCGTGTCGTCAACAAAACGAGTATAAAACTTAATAGTACCTGATTCAATAAGTTTAGGAACTATAGATTCTTCTAGTTCAGTCATTAAAATATTAGCTAAAACTGGGCCAAAAGGCGAACCCATTGAGACACCATCAGTTTGTTTATAAAATTAATTATTACATGTAAATAAAGTTTTAGTACAGCAATCTCTAAGTAGTTTCCTTAGCGAATTTTTCTTAAGGTTAGTACATATCAGTTTCTTATTGTAAACCCTATCAAGAATTATATTAATTACCTTAGTAAGGGGAACATTTGTAAACAGAGATTCAACATCAAGATACAAATCGGTAACCTAAATTATATAAATTGTTTGGTATAGCTCTAATGCGGTCAGCAGCATCAAAAGAATCTTTAAGGACAAAATCATTAACCGTTAGAGGGCCTAATAAGCTTGATAAGAACTTAGCTACTGAATAATAACAAGTACCGGTCGTGTCAATAATAGGTCTTAGGGGTGGAATATTATCAAAATCTTTATGTAATTTAGGTAGTCCATGGGCTCCAGCAGGCATGGTTGATACTGGACGAATTTCTTTGTATTCAGTTTCAGTTCATTTCTATTACATAGTGTCCGGAGGTATGCTTGTAAGGAGTTAAGCTGCGTGGTTTAATGAACAGTTAGATAGTTTCTTAAACTTAGTTGAATCAGAGAATAAGTTCGTCATAGATGTGATATAATCAGTTTTCTTCATTATCGCAACACCATTTCCTTTATCAGGTTTAAGAATTACATACTTATTACGTAAGATTTTTAAAGTATTAATACGTTTGGCATCACAATTTAAATTTCGGTTATCAAAGTCAAGAAAGTTACATGTCACTGCACGAATTGAGTTCTTCATTTTCTCACGCTTAATGAATGATTTAGGTAGAGCATCAGCATTATTAAGTTGTTCCCAAATTGATTCAGCATAAACAAACATATCAGAGTCCTGGTCGTGTAGCTAATCCATTACGGATACCAAATGTTAAGACAGATTCTTCTTCCTTAGATAATGTTTCACCAGTTAAGTTAGTAATTATATGGTTAGGGTTCTTACACGTTCCATTGATTATTGCATGTTCACGTAGAAGGTTGTTAAATTTACGTCCATGGTGGTAAGATACCTTACGCATTTCCTTATCTACAGTAGTCCTAACATGATGCTTAATTACTAAGTCAGCTTGATAAACATGAAGCTTGTATAAGTCTGCTTGTGATGTTTATCAACGTGCACAGCAAAATAATGTTAGATGTATTAAGAAAGCTCATTTAACCAGGTCTCCTGGAAATGGCTTCTTCAAACCCTGCTGTGGTCAACGAAAATATAAGGAATTTTGAATACTTACAAACACTAAACAATGTGGTTGCCTGGCAAACAGAATCCTTTGGACAGTCTAAAGAATAGAAAAATGATTTAATATTTTAACAAAGGATATAAATTGCACCACTGCCAGTCAAAATACTCCTTTTATATTATATAGTAAAAACGTATCTGCATGCATTATTAACTTTGTAAATAATATTTTTCTATCTGGTGCATGGAATCTAACAATATTAATTTCTAATATGAACATATAAAGTAGGCTAACACTACAGTCTGTACATGTTCCGTTCCGTTCCTTGGCACGTACTGGCCAAGGACATTTATTTCATCTTTTATATAAGGCTACTTCATGTTTATGAAGTGGAATGTGCCACTTTTTAGAGGCTTTATAAACAAGTTCTCGTAAACTTGAAAGCTCCGATGAGGGCAGTATAATAGAGGTAGTAAGAGTATATTGGCCTTAACAGCCACCCATACAAAAAAGATCTCTTAATCAATCAGCTGAGTGTTTCTAGAGCTCCTCATCGGAGATACAAATTTAATCTACTTACTCAATTTTATGTAGCAGATTTCCAGCAACAAGTTTTGCAATTTTGTCAACTGAGGCCTCATACCTAATAAAAAAAAAAAAAAAAAAAAA